CTGGTCTGTCAGCCTTTGCATTCAGCCTCGACTCCTGCTGCCCAGACCCCTGTCATCTCAGCTGTAGCAGCACATCCACAACACAGTGAAGACAGAAGAGCCGATCTGTATATGCAGTTCAATTGATCTGCGAACTGTTTTCTGTAGGGAATTATCTCCTGACATGCACACAGATTTGGACAGAGAAGCGATGAAATGTTGTGACTGCTGCTTCAAATTCTTTTACACACTGTTTCTGTCATCTCCCTCACTTCACCGGCTACATGTCAATCTGCCAGTTAAAACATCTTATGCAGAGGCATCCAACCTCTAGGTCAACTCGGCATGTGTATCCAGAAAAATAAGAACACGGCTATAAAAAAAGAAAAAAACAGAGATGTAAACAAGCAAGCAAACATTTGAGGTAGATTCTCACTTTTCTTTTACCACAGTCTGTATTTTCTACGTTAAATTCTCATTCCAGTGTACAGACTAAGCGTCAATGCCACCGACTCCAGTTCCTGTAAAATCATACCTTGAGATAAAAGTGCCACTGCTGCAATCTGATTCCTGAAAACAGAATGAAAGACAGAGGCATGTGGACTCACCGTGGATCAAAGCAGAGAATCCAGAGAGGAGCAGAGCCACCGAGTTCCACATCCTGGTGTTGAGGAGCAAGAGAAAAGAGGATGCAGAGGTGGAGAAGCTCCGGATGTTGGAGGAGGAGGGAAGTGAGGGGAGGAAGGACAGACTCAGGAAACTGCTGGAAATCCCCCAGTCTGACTCCAGTCGGCATCAGAGAAGTGTGAGCATGTGCTGGAAGAGAAGGGAGCTGAGAGAGGGAGTGCAAGAGGAAGAGGAGGAGGAGATGGTGGCTGTGAGTGCTCTCTCTCTCTCTCTCCCCCTCTGTCTCTCTGAGAGGTGGGACTACAATGAGAGCACGAGAGAGAAAAATGTCAGTGATGGGAGCAAAAAGACTCAAGATTGAGGAAGGAAGAGATTTTAATTGGTCCACTGCCACGAGTTAACCTTATAAAACACAACAGAACAAGATGATGCACACAATTTTACATAATGTTAATGGAAATTTGAATAAAGAAATATTGGGAGTGTAGCCTTCCCAAAGAGGCCAGCATCACACAGAAAAGGAGGGGATATGTTTAATGCAGAAAACTGAAAACAGTTTTAAATTCTAAACATTCTGGGACTATGCTGACTTAACCTGACTGTCTGCAAGTTAAAGCCTTTTGTGTCTCTTTGTGTCTATTTTCAAAAATCAGGCATATAGTAACTGAACAAATATTGTTAAAAAAAAAATTATATTTCCATTGAAAAGTCTCCCCTGCTTTTTTGTTTAAAAAGGGAAAAACTGAAGCTGATTTTCTGTTTAAGACCTAGGCTACATATTCTCACTGTGTGTTACAGCTGGGTAATCTGTAGCACAACATATGTAATAAATATATGGCAGCTGGTCACATATATGATATGATAATGCATGACAGTGACTATGGTCGAGCACTGCTGGACAGGAGACTGTGTGTTTCTGCTAGTGTGTGTGCGCTTCTCCCACACTACGGGTGGTGAGCTTTGAATCATCCGGGGCAGATGAGCTCCAGTTTAATTGAGGAAGTGTTGGACTCTGCAAGAGGGATGTGAGAGAATGTGCATAGTTAAACTCTTCTTCCCATTTGTCCTCACAAAATGCTGATGCAACAGCAAAGGCAGCAAGGAACTGAAAGAGAAGAAGAGGAGGAGAAGTGGTGGGAGCAAGAGAGGAGGAAGAAAGGCCTGGACTGTATAATGGATTACCCTATTACTTCCAATGCCCTTTGGAATTACCCCTTTCCTAGGCAGCCTGTCACACATCCAGAGCGTTCCTGAGCTACATTTATGCTTGGCTACCCGCAAAGTATGGAGAGTGGCCCCCGGAGGTGAAAAGAAACGATGGCTAAGTCACCGATTAAAGCAGAGAGATCTGCACCAAGCGTGGAACATGGACATAATGTGCCTCAGCACTGCATCGTCAGAAGAGAAGCCTCTTGTTGCTGCCTGTGCTGCATTCCGGAAACATCGCTATTTAAATGTGTGCAAAAAAAAAAAAAAGCCTTTTGTGCCATTATGCACCAGGCATCAGCGTGACACAGTGCCAAACACAAAATTCATTATGCCTCATAAAAATACAGATTGGAAGCACTGAGGCATGGGTGACATCTGGTGGTTGCTTTCCAACTGCATGTTGGCTGGAGCTCAGCAACACTGGCACTTTGTTGGGGGAACCAGTGATGTGATGGTGTTAATTAATGAGGAAGAAACTGGCGTACATTAAAACAAGAAGAGTAGGCTGTAAAGAGAAGGCTAATCAGAAAATCGGTGGGAAAAAAACAATGCACAGGCTGCAGATTAAAGCCATACAACTGATGAGTCTAGTTGGAGGAGAATGAGGAGAATGAGCATCATGTGGACAGTAATGTGCACAGGGCGCACTCACAGCAGCAGTGGTTGCCATCACGCTGACCTGGCATGACTACAGCACATCCAAGGCTGTGCTAAATGATGAATGTCATCCCTGACAATGCAGCCATCAGGGCTGCTGGGCTGTGAGTTTTTAATTAGTTTCCAGATTGGATTCAGGCCTCTCAGATGCTGACATGTCCTCTCCAACTAATAGTGTGTTATCGACAAACAAGCACATACATCCACTTGTGTGTGACATCTGATTCGTCAGTGGCCTTTTTTGTTTCGAATGAAGTTGAGTGAGGAATGAAGTTCCCTTCTAATAGACTATTAAGGTCTGACACAGTGACCCTTGGAGCAGCTGGACAAAAGTAGACTGTTAACTAAGTAAATCCCTTCCAAAACGGTTGAGGGTGCACGAACCACATTTTGAGCTCTTCAGTTTGCAGCTCAGCATGTGAGAGCTCCAAGGCGAAGAATCAGATTTGAGAGCATGATCCTGGCAATGCACGCACTCATTTGAGTTTGCGCTTGCAGATTTCTCCAGTGGAGTTTGTGTGAAAGTCAGTTATGAAAGTGTAAAAAAAAAAAAAAAGCCTAGTTTGAAGTGCTATTCACTTTGTTTCTGTTCTTACAAATCGGTGTCTGTGTGCTCTTAAATGCTGAGTTGCAAGGAAGCACTTGAAATGTGGTTCTTGGACCCTCAAGCGTTTTATCAAGGATTTACTTCCATAGTTATCCACTAAAATTGTATGGTGTGAAATGTTGAAAGATATGATGACTTAGTGTTGCACTATTACATTGTCTGACTCATGACAGTGTAAAAAAAATGCATTCTTCCAAAACCTGGCACGTTATCCACAACACAACTCGGCCTCTGGCAGTTTAGTCAGATATTTGGTTGTTATTCTAGTAGTGATGGAGCCTTGTAACACTAACTTACGTATGTCTGAACCCTAATTTTGAACCTACAGCCAGGAAACAGGTGGCTGTAGTGTAATATCTGACACATGTAACTCATGTATTGTTACTGGATGTGTGACAAAGCTTGGCATTCGTTTTTCTGACTCTTACTGATAATCCAAACAAAGATGGCAGCTAGAAAGGACATGCATGTAAATTGGAAAGCGTGAACCAAAATTTAACAGATTTATTCAGTAGATGTGTATATGAATTCTATATTGATTTTACTTGATTATTTTGTTGTTTTGTTTTTGTTTTCACTCAAATATGCTATGTCCTGTTATTATTATATGATGGGCACAAACTGTGGATGCAGACAGAGTGGTGCCAATTTTCTCCTCTAACTGTTGGCAAGAAAGCAAGTAATCATATTTCCCAAAAATGTCAAACATTCCTTTAACCCTAATTGTGACCTTTAAAACACAGAACTGAGATACTGCTGTTTGCATGCTAATGGGACTTGTTTATCTGTTAAACAAAGCTTCCCTGCAGCTCAGACAGAAGCAGTTAATACCTTGATGAGAAGATGAACTGGCATGGAGCAGATTTACCATTTACCAGCCACAGCAATTAGTGCATTCAAAATATCCCAGCTTAATTTCCCTTTCTTAGCAGCCAATGGATGATTTGCAGTAGAAGATACTAATTGAGGACATGCTGGCTACTGGCCACAGAGGCAAGAAGAATTGACATACCAGCTACAGCAGCCAGGATTTACAGGCACTTGGCTGGATACTTGAATTAATTTGAAGCCTTGCAGATGTACATATATCCTTTCAGCATCTTGTTATTATAAGGGTCATATAATTTGTGGTCTCTATCACCAGAGTAGAGTCATTCCTGCAGGGTTTTGGTCTGTATTTCAGTCACATAGTCGTATTTCTGAATCTAGTGAGATGCCATCTGTATTTGTCAGATACCATCCGCAAGGGTTTGGTGTTGACAGTCCTGTGCTGAGGCAGAGACAGTTGAGAGCTCCCTGACTGCAGAATATCACAACAAAACATCCGGACAGCAGCATCTGGCTAAGTCTCAGAGTAGAACTGACTATTTTTACTGTAGCGTAATGCATCATTCTTCTGGAGGGAGGTCTGCTGAGGTGAAACTTGCTGATCACACTACCAGAATGTTTTTGCTCTCCCATCTCACCCCCATCACCCTCCTGCTCCCTCTATCTATCTTTAAATACATGTTGTCTTCAGATTAGTTAATACTGTTCTTCATCCGGATATGCTCCGCCCACCCTTTGCTCCTTGGGTTTTTCCCTTTGGAACATGCTCCATTATCTGTAGACCCATCTGTCACAAGGATTTAGATAAATGATGCTGAATGTCATTGTTATGACTTTAATGCTTAATATTCCACCCTGCTCTGTACATAGTGTTCAGTGAAGGGGTGGCATCTTTGATATTTCATAAGCTCATAAGTATCAGATCTCTGGCTGTTTTGATTAATCTGCAATACAAATCTGCTGAATTGATACTGAGAACTGTTATTCTCTTTTGAAGATTAGATTTATTTAAAAAAAAAAGGTTTGTATAACCCACTTGGAATTCTCTCAGGACAGTAATCATAACAACTGATGAAATTTCATATGCAAAGTGATTTAATAGCATTCCTTATCAGACTGTGAAAATTTGCGGGGTGGGGGGGTGATGATATATCACACTAGGGCACGCATGTATAAGCAGAGGTCCCAGCACACACATTAACACACACACACACAGGAGAGGAACTCTGCCAATCCCAGCTAAAACAACCCTGACAGATGAGTTGTTGTTTGCCTTTGCTCTATGTAACATCTGCAACCTAGAGTCTTTGCGGTTGTTAAGCCCTGCCAGCTTTAAGGAAGATGCCCTGATGGAGGAAGGATGGCCAAATAAGGGAACAAATGCCTGAAAATGTAATGGATATCTATGATATGGGTATTTTCCTCATGTATTGTTATATGCAGGAAAGTTTATAACCACTTCTTGATTCTGTGGGAGGAGCTCTGTGATGCTGAGGCTGCTAATGGACTACTGCAAAGTTCAAGGAGACATTTGGAATATTGTGATCTAATCACACTGGAGCTCACTGGTGTTGCAGCTTGATTCTTTTTCAGTGTTTAACTTAAAATTTTGAATGTGTCCTTAATGAGAGTGATGTATTAGAGTTGTAAGTTGCAACAGGATAGTACTTGGAAGATTTCCTTGTGACCTTTGGGACTTTAGGAAGATTAAATACTAAATTACTTGGAAATTACCATAAAGACAAGTTAAGGCCTTTATTCATCATATCGGGTTCTTTGCAGACTGGAAAACATTGCTAAAAAGGTAAGAATAACAATAAGAGCTGTTTTTAAACCAGCCTACAGAAATAATGATTTCACATTAGGAGCCTACTAACAGTTATGTGACTAAATTTGATTGCTGACTATTAAACATTTTTGACTGGACCTTCTGCCAAAATATTAGTTTGTTGCTTCTCCGATATTCAGAATCTTAAAAAAAAATCACCTTTTTCAAATCATATTAACAAAACAAATATGGTCAAGAATTTAGAAAAATGAGCATGAACAAAGCTAAGGTATGAGAAATCTTCTCTGGTGATTAAGCTACAATCACAGTGCTGTTTTCATCAGTTTAAACTGCATTCACTGTCTCAGTGGACTAACATCTGTCTCTCTCTGCCCTCTTTGCACAAACCATTTTAAAAGGATTTGGTAAATCATCACCTTTAAATCCACCATGGCGCAGTCTCCCTCTATGAACTTGTCAGTGGTGGATGGAGACGAAGTGGAAGAGCAGCGGCCCCTCCTCCCACCGAGGATGGTTCCAGCACCTCAGGCCTGCTCTCCACAGTGTGGGATACACCACACAGTCCAAACATCAATTGATCACACCATGTGGCTGCACAGGACCCAGGCCATGGCCACCACACCTTTATATAATGGCCTTCTTTATGTTACACCATCGCCTCGCTGCAGCAGGGGAGACAAACCCAAAGGCAAAGAGGAAAAATGTGTGAAAGGCTCAGGGGGGAGTAGACAAAACCCAGGACACAAGGAGCGAAATCACCAGCACAAAACCAAAAACCCAGGATCTCTCAGACTCCAGGAGAAAGTCACCTCTTTCATTGACATCCCCATTGCTCCCTGTGGGTCACCCTTCAAGGGCCCCTGCAGGTCACATTTAGATGTCAAGGATGTTGAGAGCAGAGGTCGCCACAAGTCAGGTACTGTTTCTTTGGAGATGCACAACCGCCAGAGTCTCCCAGAGATCATCATCACCAGCAAAGATGATGACATCCAGCCACGCAATGAGACGCCAAAGTACTATCAGGAGCTGTGTGGTGAAAAAGGCCTGCTGCCAGGAGTCGAGTGTCCCATTCTCAATCCTAAATGCAGTCCAAAAGACAAGGACGACCGCTACTGGAAGACTCACAGCATTGGTTGGCGGCTGGTCCGCAGGAGGGCTCTCTTTCTGAGGAGGCAGCGGCTGAATGACTGCGCCCTGGTGGTGGGGATATTCGGGGTGGTGATGATGGTGATGGAGACAGAGCTGTCCTGGAGCGTCTACAGCAAGGTTAGGGAGAAAAAGAAAACCAGAATAAAACCTGAGAGATGTGAATGCAATTCTCATCTGTAGATGTTTTTCAAGAGTGAAAAATAATAATAATTGGTAAAGGAAAGAAATCAGTGTTTTAACTGAAGTTAACTTCTATTAAAAGGGCCCATCAGCAGTTATACTTCAAAGTTTTACAACCTGAGAAATCACATTCTGAGTAATAACACAGCACTACTTCAACCTCATTTGTATCCAGTGAAAACAAAAACTGGGCTGTACTGGAAAATCAGAGTGGCTCAACCAGCAACTGCAAGAAAATGCATTGTACACCCATAATATGTTTGTCATAATCTTGCAAGTAAATTATTCAAATGTAGGTAATATTACATGGGATCACTAATGCAATTTCATAGAATGAGCTTTGTAATGACGAACAATCATCAGCTGACAATGACGTGTTTGTCTACGTGTCTGTGTGTGTGTGTGTGTGTGTGTGTGTGTGTGTGTCCTGCAGAGCTCTATCTACTCTCTCGTGTTCAAGTCCGTCATCAGTTTCTCTACAGTCGTCCTGCTCTGCCTCATTGTAGCGTACCACTGCTGTGAGGTGCAGGTAACTCGTCATTATTGCGTCATCAGTGTTTTTTCCTTTTTAATCCAAGTCCTCCTCCATTAGAGTCCCATTTGCAGTGAAAAAAAAACCACTTTTAGTTCTTTTTTGCTGCTGGGATTGTCACTACATGAGTAATTTCTATAAGTTCTCTTTTTAAAGAAAGGTTTTTGCACCAGTAGTTTCCAGTCTTTTTGTTCTGTGGCTTAAAATGAAGCACAGTCTACTTCTAACTCCTGCATCACAGGTTATGGCCTTAGGGTGTAGAGAACTGTTAAACCAAAGAGTGAGTTTTCTCTCATTCCATTTGAGAGATTTTTGAGGTCTGAAGAGGTGAAAGCGTGCAGTATTTTATAAAAAGTTAAAGCTTGAGAAAAGTCAGGAAACAAACATTATTTGATGTATTTTCCTGTTGTATCTATACCAGCTCTTTTCAGTGCTCAGCTTCACTATAATGCCCTCTTCACTTCTCTGTGGTAGCTCTATGTTCATGACATTGGTGCTGAAGACTGGCGGATTGCCATGACAACGGACCGTTTAGCTCTGATAGCTCTGGAGCTGGCAGCGGTGGCCATTCACCCCTATCCGGTGGGTCTGCTTTCGTACTTCCAGCAGACCACGGCTCGCCTGACACTGTCAGAGACAGAGCTGGAGATCGTCTTGGCTTTGCCCATGTTCCTGAGGCTCTACTTGCTGGGTCGGGCCATGATGCTGCACAGCCGCCTCTTCACCGATACTGCATCCCGCAGCATCGGAGCACTTAACAAGGTGGGAGGTCACCTGTCAGCTCCCTTCAGAGTCAGACTTTGGCTTAGATATTGAGATCGTAACACATTTAAATTAAAGAGAAGAGTGAAGTTTGAGTTACTTTGAATTTAAACACTGAGGCAGTGGGCAACAGTCTGCTATGGGACATGATTCATGGGATATTAGTCTATATTTTGGATAATGATTTGGGCTGGGCTTCCTCTATGAACATTTCATGTACATCTGTTTATGTCTTATGTCTAGGTGGGTCGAGAGGTCACTAGACGTGTGACACTTGAGGTGTGATTATCATAGTTTCGCTCTCATGAATCCCAGTGGCTTCACATGCTGATTATGTCCTCGCTAGCTCTCCTTTGCTTGTCTGCTTTCTTTTCCACAGTGGATAATATCCACCTGGCTAATCCCTTCCCTTATGAATGCTATTTAAGAGTGACAAAAATGACCTTTGTCTCCCCTCTGCAATGCCAAACCTACTATCCATGTATCAAGCCAGACTGAGAACAAGCTTTCTTATCCCTCATCTCCTCTGTATTACGGAATCATAATCTGACAGGTGCTATTCTAAATAGTCTAGCTAAATAGCTACTGTCAAAATTATGATGTAATTCATCCTCTTTGTGATCTTTAGATACACTTCAACACCCGCTTTGTGGGAAAAACACTAATGACCACCTACCCCGGCACTGTGCTGATGATTTTCAGTGTTTCTCTGTGGATTGTGGCAGCGTGGGGGTTACATGTTTGTGAGAGGTATGTGATGATGGTCTACTACAGAGTACACAGTGATGTCTACAGTGCTGTCAGCAGCATGCTGTACTATATCTGTACTAGCTCGATGATACTGACAGATTCAAATATCACCTAATCCTGACCTGATGGTGATAATGTCATAGGTTTTTTGGATATTAACTTTTTTATTATAAAATGCAAACTAGGCTTGTGTAAGAAAAGAATCAGTAATGTGAAAATATACAATTCTTATACATCTACAACAGTCCGACTCATTGAGTAAAGCAGCATTTAAGATGAATCAAAATGACCCTCATGTCAAGATGTCAATACTACATCTATTTATTAACCTGCTCTACATTATAACACAACATCAGAGGGAGAAAATAACCAGTCCTCTCTGTTCCCTCAGACACCACAACTACAGAGACCTTAGTAGCAACTACATGGAAGCCCTGTGGATGGTCTCTGTCACTTTCCTGTCCATTGGTTATGGAGATGTGGTGCCTCACACTTACTGTGGACGCAGCATCTGCCTCCTCACTGGGATAATGGTAAGCACATGGTGTACTGAGCAGAGGCCTGATAGTTTCCTCTGTAACAAAACTACCAACACACTATTTCAGATGATGAATGCAAATATAAATGTCTAACTGTGACTCTGACAGGGAGCAGGCTGTACAGTCCTGGTGGTGGCCGTAGTCGCCAGGAAGCTGGAACTGACCAGAGCTGAGAAACATGTTCACAACTTTATGATGGACTCCCACATCTCCAAGAGGGTAACTGCCAACATTTCTCCTTAGTGTGGCTGGATTTTACATAGAGCCACAAGTAAGGGACTCTTATCAACAGGTATATGTTGTATTGTACAACATAATCACTTGCAGTGTGTAGTTTCACCCTTAATTGGCACAATTTAAAGAACACACATCAACTGATTTTACTCAACAGTAATTTGTTTCTATTTGTCTTTATTGAGTAAAAACCTGCAAATGGAATGAAATAAGTTTACCTTGATTCAAGATAAACCAACTTCTTCAAATAGTTTTCCAGCAAGTTGTCTTGGTTTTTATGCCTCTGTACTTGTGACAGCTGCAACAGGAGGCATTTGTTCTCGTGTTGTCCTCCTGTACGCCTGTATGTCCCATTCTTGTCAGGAACACTTTGAGGGAACTTCTTCAAATTTGGCTTAAGTGTCCACCTGGACTCAGTGATGAACTGATTAGATTTTGTTCAAGGTCAGTGACCTTACTTCTGTCACATACCCGTGAGTTTGACTGGTTGGCGGAGGCAAACAAACACAAAGCTGTAATTCTAGTTTGTTTTTGTTTGTTGTTTTTTTTACTTGGCTTATTTGCATTTTGTTGTTGTTATTCAATATGGGGAGTAAATAATAGCCCATTGAGTTATGTGCATAGGCTCATTTTAATTTTTTTATAGATAAAAATTGCTGCTGCAAATGTTCTGAGAGAGACTTGGCTCATCTACAAACACACTAAGCTGTCGAGAGAAAGAGACCACACCAGAGTCCGCATGCACCAGAGGAAGCTGCTTCTGGCCATCCACCAGTAAGACACCTTCATATAAAGCTACAAGGAAGAACAACTGCGTCACTTTACTTACTATAAGTTCATGCTAAAATAACACTACTTACATTTATATATTAATTCTTACCTTTTTATATCAAATGGCATTTGGTTTTATATATTCACATATTTTAAGCACACCTTGCTTTCCTCCATTTTTATTTTCTCTCAATGATATTCCACTGATTTATGATTTTTGAACCATCTGTCTAAACATCATTACTCATCCCAGTTATAAAAGGAAATTCTTCTGCCTCTTTGAATGTATTTTAAAATAACATTTTGTCATAGCTGGGCAGTAATCTGAAGCAAATGACAAAATTAAGGGCGTAAATTCCTGTGAGTGTAAAGTTTGGTACTGTCTTGCCGTTGTGGCATTAATTAAAGATTATGAAGATTACTGCAAGAGAAAGTGTAGATCACTTTACATCCATAGCCCAGAGATTGGAGAATGCCACACATATTTATAAGAGGCGTGAACTGAACAAGTAATAGTGTCTCCCCCTAAATCACAGCTGAATTGGCTGCTTCCAGCTGTAAATGTGTTGAGATGTTATTGATAACTGATTGAACGCCATTATTTTACATGTGGATGCGCTCGCTGAGCCCAGTGGCTTTCCGTAGTTTTAAGGCCATATGGGTGAGCTGATTCTTTACATTTCTCTTGTCATCACTAACTTCCCGTAGCACCTAGAAATAAATGATTTTGCCTTCAGGCTTCGTCGTGTAAAGATGGAGAAGAGGATACTTGCAGATCAGAGTAACTCCTTAGTGGATCTCAACAAGGTGAGAGGCAAATGAGTGCATCATTTTATGACGGGAAACCTCAGAAAAGCAGAGTTTAATGTTCCAAAATTCCTTTTCTTCCTCTTTACATGGACCTCCATGCACCACCCTGAACACGGACAACCTCGATGCAGATGCAAAACCTGATGTATGACATGCTGGCAGAGGTGCAGGGCTGCAGGGGGGAGCTCGACACACACATCCACAGCCTGGAGAAGCATGTGGAAGAGCTGAGGGAGGGCTTCAGGAGCCTGATGCCGCTCCTGTCCAGTACCTTGTCCACACAGAACTCCTCCATCCGCCACCTGCTCAGGGAAAGGGAGGTGAAGATGGAGACTGCTAGTGTGAGCGACAGGTAGAGTGAATGAGGAAGGTGATGGAGAAATGAAGGCTTCTCAGGGGGCTTCTGGAGGACCATCTGCTTATAATGCAGCCAGGTGGGACATTTTTCTTAGAGGTGGACACACTGGTGTTAATAACAAAGTGAAGGCTGTACTGAAGTGTATAAAATTGTATTTAAGTAGTAGCAGGAATACTATAAAGCCAAAATGTGGACAGTAAAATTCATTTATCAAGGCTTTTTGCATTTTCCCTGTCCTTCCTGGCACCAAAAGTAATTTTCCAAAAATGTAATTTTATTCCAGCTTTGTTTTTATATTATATTAAATTGAATATTTGGGTGTTTGGACAGTTGGTCTGACACTGTGCTTTAAGAAATTAAGGGAAATAATCATTAACAGAGAGAGAGCTTTTACCACTTCTATCAGGGAGTAGCTTTATCTATAAACACGGCACTTTGTTCTTATGTAGTAAAAAGGATAAATTTAAATGCAGGTTTGTAATATACTGATGCACTCATACAGAATTATGAGGTTAACCTGTAGTAGTGGAACAATACATGTAGTGAAGTAACACCCCAAACCGTTCCTTTAGCCAAAACATTTTATTCAGAGAGACAGGGTTGGAGGGTGGAGTTACAGCAACAACAGATCTGTCAACGTGAACTCCAACTGCTGCTCAGTCGGTCCTCAGTCTCAGACCAGACCGCCGGGTAAAGGCGCTGATATCAACCGGTCCATCCCCTCCTCTCCCCTTCAGCTCCAGGGAAACAGCTAGTGCTGCTTCCTCCTGAATGAACACCCTGCCAAGAGGACACAAAGACGGTCAGAGTGCTGCTGACAAAAGACAAGGCTTACAGTACAGAAAGAGTGCAGGCGCTGTGCACTGCTGATACAAGAGTCATTTGCAGCTTCTTTTCTCATGACCAACTGACTTTACATTTAACGTGTAAGGACAGCGGCACTGGATGCAACACCAGCAGTATCAGACCTGCGCTGCACAACGGCCACAGTAAATGTTTGTTCTCAGCCTTCGAAAGGGGGGAGCCAGTCGTCTAGCTCAACCCTTCTGCAAACTGAGGTCACTCTGGCACTGGAATGAGACTGGAAGACCACAATAGAGGAGGTCCAGTCACTTAGCAGTGCGGCTAACAACAAGCCATTTTACACTACACACACAACTGGGGCAGCAACCAAATGGCCAAAGCTTAAGCTATGTTAAATAAATCTTAGTGTTTCCTAGCACACTATTCTGTTCTTTGTCCCACAAGATAGTAACCGGTTCTAAACTGGGTCCTGATTAGTCATGCATGAAGTTGTAGCACCTGGATTTTAATGTGTTGCATGTTCATCCTGTTCTACAGGAGAGAATTAGAGCCACTGTAAAACAAAAACTTGTACCTGACTTTTTTCCCCTCAAAATTCTGCCTTTAATCTCAGAATTCTTAGAAAAAAAGAGAGAATTCTGAGATTAGTCAGAATTCTGTGTTTTTGTGTGGCCCTAATCCTCTTCCATACTGTTCTTTTGTTTCCTCCCACTGCTGAAATAACATACTGATCAAATATTGGTTGATATGTAATGTGTGGGGTTACTTAGAGGTTTTCCATACAAACAGTTCAGCATGTAAAATCAGATGGTATTCTCAGTCCTATGTGCTACCAACAGCATTCAGTTATAAACCGAAAGCTCTCAGTGAAGATTACTTGGTCCAATGCAAAAATGGTTCCCAAAAGGTTATTTCCTTGTCTGGTGTAGAGAATTAAAGATGGTATTGAAAAACAATCTGCCTGTGCTTTTTTTTGGAAAAGCCAATTAAAAGATGTCAAAATGACACCATGCACTTCTGGAGAGCTCTGACTTTTTGGTTCCTGATGACAAAAGGCCTCATATCCCAAGCTTGAATCGGTAAAGACTGAACATAAATTTGGGGTTTCTACAACACTGAATTTGCAGTTCTCAATCTTAATGTATTAAATTCAGCTTTGTCAAATAAAAGGCCTTAGAAGATACTAAAGTCAAGGGATTTCTCTGCCTCTGGCAGTGTTAGTCAAAATGTTTTTGTATCAGACTGCAGGGCCACATTACACATGTACAAGCTAAAACAATAGCAGCTGTGACAACAGACTGTGCTGCAGGAGGCTCCTGAATCCTTTATGGGGCATTTCAGTCAGACAGTGAGAAGACAGAGTCTGGGACGTGCATGTTCTAGTAAGTTTGTTTTTAACAAGTTATGAGATTATATAAAAAGGAGCCCATTTTGGTTTGTATGAGCTTTGATTGGCAGCCCAATGCTGTCACTCCACTTCTCCTCACTGCCGTTTACACAATATTTTAACTTCATTTTTGCGTGGGGTGGGGGGGTGACGCCATGTCCATCATATATACAGTCAATGGGCTGCACAAATAAACTACAGAGCCCTACTGTGGAGCCAACCCTGAGTTATACTGGTGTTGTGTATGCTGCAGGGTAAAACTCACCCTCTGTAAGGCGTGCTTTGCCTCCGGTGGGCTGACACAGGACTGTTGAACAGCCCACACACAGCACGACTGTCTGAGCATGGCTGAACACAGTTGTGATCTTGTAGCATCCTAGAAAAGACAGACAGCAGTTACAACTCTTGACTTCAAAACCCACCACTCACAAGCTGACGTGATTAAATGGCATCCAAGTCAGTTCAAGTTAACAGTACTGCTCGGATGTATTTGCATGTAGAAAAACGGTACCTGGACATTTCACATCCATAAAGTAAGAGTTGGGACTCTGAACTAGCCGCTTCTTCTTGTGCCTCCTCTTCTCCTCCTCAGGGGATGGGTGCAATAAGTCTTTCGCGAGCTGCATTGGGAGAAGAACAGCAGGAAACGGTGAAGCTCTCTCCAGATAACATTTAGATGAGGAATTACAAACTGATTATCCAGAATAAAAGACTAAAATAACGATTCGTTTAACGTTAGCTCCATAACTTGACTTAAAAGCGCACATACTATTGTGTTAGCACTGTTTTGTTCTTGTAAACGTGCTATGTTCAGGCTCCTGGGCTTGGCCTACTATTAGATTAAGTATTGTAACATTATTTTAAGGATTATCACCAGTCGCGAGTGATATCTCAAATACGATTATCAGTGATAACCTGCTCGGCAACCAAGAGCGCAAAGTTAAAAAGAAATGGCTGATGATGTAAAGTTTTCTAGGTTATGAGCCGTTTAACTGGCTCCATGTTTGCGATGTGCGCGCAGCCATCTTGTGTCACAATGCGCTCAAATGTGCACAATTATTTGTGTTAAACTAGGACCAAAACTCAACAAAAGCCTCTAAAGCCGACACCAGTGGAATCGCTACATTCTAACGTCAACGTCGAGTTGTCCGGTGGCTCTGTAACACGCGAATAAACGGTAAAATATCCGTTCACAACGGCTTGCGAATACTCACTGGCATGTTGGCGAAGAAATAGCCGCTGCCGAAAAGGAGGCATCACCGGAAGCGAGGAGCTCAAATCGCTGCTTCCTTTGCGCACGAGACGGACGTGACACATTTCTCAGGACATGGTCGCCATATTACTGAGGTCACAACTCGATCGAAGTTTTTTTTTTTCTTTTATTAAGTCAAACCAAACAGACAAGCAATTACAAAGTCTAATACAGATTTTGAACAGTACAAAGACTGAGCAAGTTCAAAATTAATCAAAACTAACATTATCCCAATAGAACAGGAAAGCCAAACAAACAGGGAAGCCAAATGACACACACACACAAAAAAACTATTCAACACATTCATTTACATTAATTAGATTAATTAACATTTGATATAATTCCTGTGACAGTTTAGTGTTTATATACTTCAATGACTCACACAAAATAGAAAGCTCTTTCATAAAAACTGAGAGATGTGGGGTCAGATTCCTAAATTTGCATTTATGTATATAATATTTTGCCATAATTATCAAATTGTTTAACATAAAATCCATTCTTGAGTCCTTTAAAAGTATACCAAATTGAATATTTTCATAGTTTAATTGAGATAGAGACGGATTATCCTTTAAACACCACTGACAAAATGCTTTCCAAAATGAAGAAGACACACTACAGCTGAAGAAAAGATGTTCCTGTGATTCCATGTCATTTTCACAAAATGTACATACATTTGTGTCAAGCCCAAATTTAAGGTACAACAATTCTTTACATGGATAGATTTCATTCATTGTTTTAAAATGCACCTCTTTAGCTTTAGGTGAAATTGGGAACTTCAAGAAATTACATCTTATTTTCTTTGCATCAGAGGAAGCATTCAGATATTTTTCTAGCAAATACCTTCTTTTCAGAGATGAAGGAAAACATGCTTTAGTAAGTGTGGATCTTAAAAATTATTTTTTACTGCATTTGTCAGATAGAAAAGTACAGTCTTGTACTAATAAAGGGTGTAAGCGAGGTATCATCCTTTGATAATATAGTGAACCTTTAATATTTATGAGAATAGCTCGTGGTATGGCTTTTATCACCTTATTATATTTATCCTGAGTACAGTTTAAATTATACTTGTTGTTGAATGCTATTAGGTCCAGAATATTGCCTCTGTCGTCTATTAGATGTCGAATTGACCAAATTCCTTGGTCCGCCCACTCCTTCCAGTAAAAGGACTTTCTCTTTATCAATATGTATTGATTGTTCCAGATTGGCGTATTATGTGGGGAGAAATTGTGCTTGAAAATTAATTTCCAATAAAGCAGGATATGTTGATGGAATTTAGACAATTTTACGGGAACTCCACCGAAGTTACCCCAAGTTGCATTTTTATTCAACTGCTTATAGTCGATGGCTAAGCTAAATGTCCTAATATGAATGACAGTTACTGTTTTGACAAAGATATAAAATAGTGTATTTCCTATGGAAATTGCACATAAAATGCACATTAGAAATATAATAACCTTTAGATAGCATACAATCCCAAAAGCCCAAATGACTTCTGGATTGTACCACGCCAGCACTCCCAAATTTTATTTTCAGAAACTCTCTACTTATAGGGCAGATGGTCTGATAGGAATTTGCATAAATATGCATTTTAATGAGGGGACTGACTTAAAAAAACTGCACGTTAACCTAACACGTTCAAATTACCAGATCTAAGTAGATTCGATCACCGGCAATCGGCGCACAATGCATGCCGGTTAGTTTTCTGTCGACTTGATCCCGACTTGCTCTGACGTAACCCTCACGTGGTCAACGATATTCTCACAGGATCGAGGCGGCTGCAGCTTTTGGAGACAGGCGGTGCAATAGCTCTCCACTGACTGCAAGTAGTGATGGGTAAACGAGGCTTTGTTGGAGCTTCGACACAGTATTCACAAAAACGGTTTATTACTCATTACTCAATGACACAGTGCTCGAGTAGGACATCTAGTGGTCAAGAAAATGAAGTGCAGTCGAGACGTGTCGCTTATTGGTTCATGGATTGTTTGGGATTTGATTCACCATGCACATTCCTGTTCGACTACACTACATGGTTGTATGGTTTCAAGCTGACACAATAAAATATAAAATAAACATGGACACATGTTGAAGACCATGTTCCTTATGTGGCACGTCTGAGTGTAACCCTATATGCTCCTCACTTATATTTTGTGTTATGAAAACATTTGAATGCTGCTGCTACATTCATGAGATGTGCTCTACAAATTCAGAAGGATGTCATTTTCACATGGGGCTGGTGCAAAAAAAGATTATATTTTGGACTTTGGCAAAGTTTGTTTTCGGGTTCATTGGTAAAGAGGTTCGTGGGTAAAGAGGGTGTGCTTGAAGAACAGGGCAGTGTGTGTGCTTGTATAACTGCTTATGAGTGTTTATTGAGAAATAACAGTATATCCACAGTTTTCAGACACAAGCGTTTCTCCTTTTCCAGACTATTTCCCCAGCCTTGGAAAAAACCCGTTCACAAGGCACAGGTGCGGCTGGGGTACACAGGAAATGCTTGGATAATTCATAGAGGTTTGGGTAAACAGTTTTATGGGTGGCCCAGTATGTGAGGGCGTCATCAGTTCTTTCCAGGGTAAGCAGATCAGGCCCGTGGCTGAGACTTTTAACGAAGGTGAAGCCTTTCTTATCGCGTGCAAACTTAGAAAAAGCCATCCACGCTTTTATCACTTGACGACTAGCAGGACCGGCCCGTGGCATAGGCAGTATAGGCAAATGCTAAGGGCGCCAGAAATGGAGGAAGAAAAAAAAGTGTAACTTCCACTATTCTTAAAACTACACTTCAGAAAAGAATAAGCCCACCACATTATTTTAACTGCATAGCAGCAAAGCCTACTAAGTAGTAGTAGTAGTAGTAGTAATAATAATAATAATAATAATAATATTATAGCCTACCTGCCTAAGACGCCTCCCCTCTCTTCCAAATAATCCGACTTTAGCTGCTACACGGTGGTCGTTTTTTGATGGGTCAACAAGCTCAACATGTCAAAACGTCCCAAACTGTCTGGTGCCCAGGGGAGGAAAAAAAGAAAAGAAGAGGAGGAAAAACTCGACAAAGACAGAGGTAATGTTACGGTAAAGATACAGTATGTGTAGGCACGAGACTGAGTCTGACATGGTAGTCTGCAGCACAGGGGCCCCACAGGGAACCATCTTGGCATCGTTCCTTTTCTCTCTGTGCGCTGTAGATTTCATGTATAGCTCACTGAACTATCACTTGCAGCTGCACAATTCAAGTCAGTCAAAACATATGGAAGGCATAGTAAACAAAACAGAAAAAGCTAAACTTAATGAAAATGAGCATGTTTATATTTAAACAGGCACATGAAAATATATTGTACAACAGTTTTCAGAGTGAGTTGATTTCCCTGTTTAGAAAGTATACAGTTGATGGTGTGTGTCCTTTTAAATCCAGATCATTTATTCTTCAACAGCCCTGGGTTTCATGTTTTGCACACTTGTGTTAACGACTGAACAATAGTTGGAAAAATATTAAAAACTTTTTGAAGTACATTCATGGCATGTGTCCCAAACAGACAGCATCCGCTGATGAAATTAATCAAAACAATGATTCAGGAAAACACTAGATGGCAGCAATTCACTATCTAAGTTTTATACAGGCCCAGTATTTGGGTTTTCATACACTACAAGCTACAGGCTACGTGGTACTCTAATTTGGATGTATCAATTAGTGAGCAATTGAAATCACATTAGGAAAATATTCTGAATTGATTTTGCACAAATGTTTGTGAACTAAATTATTTGATATGTTAAAAACATTTAAGTAACCCATAATATGTGTCATTTTCATTCAGGCAGTCATTTTGAAGGAAAATGTAACCTCTGTCTCTAACAAGTATGTTCCGATTTAGATTCAGTACTAATTTGTTTGGATCCAAAGCACTTCCTCTGCAGGGCTACATCAACATGTAACTGGAAAAACAACAACTGTGAAAATGGGGATGAGAGACCTTTTCTCTTACCACCAGGTCAGAACTGCGACACCCACTGGGGCTGTAACAGTCATGATCAGTGGTCGCAGCCAGTCACCAGGAAGGCAAACCCAGCCAGCAGCATGTTGCCTACAGACCAGGCCATACTGCCCAACACACCAACACACCGATAAACGGCCTGTGACCGGTGTCCACCCAGTCGATGCCTGCGAGGTGAGCAGGAAAAAACAGATGCCAAGACATAATAAATATTCTGCAAGAAGACTTGGTTTTGTAAACAGTGATGGAGGCAAGTCGGGGACCAGTTAGTTAAAAAAATGTCTCTGCACACAGCTGATCCGAACTACTCACTGAGAACTATTGAGTTTATGCTGATCCCCATCAGTCCAAACCCAGTGAGAAACCTCAGCACTGCAAACAGGATGTAGGAGTTTGCAAATGCATTGGCGAAGCCAAATGTGATCGCCATGATGTATGAGGCCAGAAGAGTGTTTTTCCTCCCATACCTGAGAAACACAATGGGCATCAGGTGATTTGAATGCATCAAGTTGAATTTAATTCGTTTTTACACTGATGAGTTTATTAACAAAACTTCCTGAAATGGGAACTCGAGTCCTGGTCCTTCTTTAAACATTCACTTAGTCTGAGAGGAAAATACAGTCTTTTCCTCTCTCCTTCCTATTTTTGATTACATATATTTCCGATTGGAATGCACAGTTTATTTTTTATTTTTGTCTTATTTTATGTAACATTTCAATAGCACCTAAAGCACAAATGTTTATAAACATTTTGTAATTCTTGTCACTGTTCTTATTAAGTGGTTAGAGAAATTAGCGCCCTAGGGAGTACTCTAGTTTGGTTAAGTACAGGTACTTCAGAGTAGTTCAAGCTACTATGAAAAAACTTTCCAAAAGATCTAACTGACAATGAACATGTGTTACAAAATACAAAAAAGTCACATTCCAGCAAAAATGCCACTCAAATGAGTTTATTTCCTGAGGCCTAAACCTTCACTAAAAATAATAATCTCACCTGAGCTTTTGACAAGAAAAAAACTGCAGGGAGGTTTTTGTTTTATCTTTTTTGTAAACAAGTCTGGATTTTGTATTATCTAACTAAAACAGTTAAGAGAAAAATATGTAACTTTTTAGACCATTTGATAGAACTGGGCACTGATCTAATAAAACAGCCTGTTGTTTATTTGTCAGTTTTGTAACATATGACTTGTACCATCTTAACAAAAACAGTCTTCAACTTGCAGTGTTTTAGACAGTATGAACACTGTCTCAATAATGGGCCTATCTTTTTATTTGTCAGAACAGGTTCTCTTATTTGCATGACATATGAGCTGTCTCTCAAGCAGGGCACTGAAAGTGTCCTTGCCACACACCGAAAAGCCGCTGGCATGCAACATGGTAAAACAGAACATACAACATCAGTCCTTTATGAGCCAAAAGAAGAAGAAAAACGACTATTAGAAAAAATCAGACTACATGCTACCAGACAAGTAATGCTGTTGAATTAAACCCATATACAGTTAGTTTTGATCATAATAACTTATGATTTATAATAATAAATGCTGTACTAAAGTAAAAAAATAGTTCCACCATAATTTTCTTGTCATAACCACTTATTGGCTAGTGCCCTGCATGTACAGTGATCTGCTTTAAAGGCATGCTGAAAATCATAATACAAATCATTACGTGAAAAATTAAGAAGTATTTGTTCAAGAACAATTTTTCCATTAACTCAAGCAACACTGGACTAATACCAATTGTTCTGCTTTTGGCAGCCAAGAAACTTTACTATTTATTTTAATGTCATTTAATTGTATTTATTTAATTTCACCATCTCATATCATGATTCGGTTCCATTGCTTCCTGTCGTGCTTTTATTTTATTTCCTGTTTTTTGTTTCACCTCAGTTTCGGTCTTTACTTTTATAATCACTCACATTAGTTTCACCTACTCCCTGTTTCCCCCTCACTCCCGCACTTAACATCTCCACCAAGGTTCCTCCCCCACAGGATATCACCTGATACTACACTCCCGATTGTTTGCACCTGTTTTCACCGCATTATAAGCAGCCTTCTCCCACCAGTCCCCTGCCAGATTGTTCTAGACTCCAGCTCTGACTTTCCAGCACTATTTCCTGCCTGACGCTTTAGTTAGTGATGGCCGATGAGGTCTCAATGACACCGTGCTCGAGTAGGACATCTAGTGGTCAAGAAAATGAAGTGCAGTCAAGACGGGTCGCTTATTGGTTCATGGATTGTTTGGGATTTGATTCGCCATGCACATTCCTGTTTGACTACACTACATGGTTGTATGGTTTCAAGCTAACACAATAAAATATAAAATAAACATGGACATATGTTAAAGACCATGTGTCTTATGTGGCACGTCTGATTGTAACCCTATATGCTCCTCACTTATATTTTGTGTTATGAAAACATTTAAATGGTGCTGCCACATTCATGAGCTGTGCTCTACAGATTCAGACAGATGTCATTTTCATATGGGGCTGGTGCAAATACAGATTATAGTGTGGACCAAGGCAAGGTGTGTTTAGGGGTTCATTGGTAAGGAGGTTCATGGGTATGTGGGTAAAGAGGGTGTGCTTGAAGAACAGGGAAGTGGGTGTGCTTGTGTAACTGTTTATGAGTTTTTATTGAGAACAGTATATCCACAAGCGGTTTCTCCTTTTACAGACTATGTCCCCAGCCCTGGAAAAAACCCGTTAACATGGCACAGATGAGGATGGGGTACACAGGAAATGCTTGGATAATTCATAGAGGTTTGGGTAACTATATATGCAATATATCTTATCTATATCTAACGTTATTTAGGACTATCTATGTAACTATATCTAGTGTTATTTATCTATGTAACTATTTTATCTATTTCTCTCTAACTTACTATCTATCTATCTATTGATCTATCTCTCTATCTACAGTGATTCTCCACTAAATACACAATCTGCTACAACACTACTAACTCTCAAAGCAACAAACCAACCTACTCTGCAAAGACAGATTCAAATGAACGTCACTAAATAGGGATATCCTATCTCTGAACACACTTGATCCAAAGTGATTCACATGACAAACCGAACCAATCAACTGATTCACCTGACATCCGACGAACCCAACTGCTTCGGACGTCACTCAAGTGATTCAAACTACACTAGTCATGTGACCGAAACACGCCTCGGCACAGTGGTTCGAAACAATTGCTTTATGAGCTACCGCGCATGTGTCGGAGCCTCGGGTGTCAAACGGCCATCACTAATTAAGGTGCATTATCGCCACCTGCTGGGCTGGAGTGTGGAACAATAATAAAGTAAGGCATAACATTGTGACCACTGACAGGTGAAGTGAATAACACTGATGAGCTCGTTACATCCGCCTGTCAGTGGGTGAGGTATATAAGGCAGCAAGCTAACAGCGTCTAAGGAAGGACAGATGGTGAATTGGTGATAGGGTCATGGCTAAGCTCAAGGCTAAGTGTTCCACAGGCATTTGAAGTTGCAGTAATTAAACCACTACTCAAAAAGCCTACTCTTGACCTAGGTGTCCTAGCTAATTATAGACCAATATCCAATCTCCCATTTATTTCCAAAATCCTTGAAAAAGCTGTTGCTAAGCAGTTATGTGACCACTTGCCCAACAATGATTTGTTTGAGGATTTTCAGTCAGGTTTTAGAGCCCATCATAGTACAGAAACTGCATTGGTGAAAGTCACCAAGCCTCAGAGCAAGCCTTATCCTAGCCTCAGACAATGGACTTGTCTCCATACTTGTCCTCTTAGATCTCAGTGCTGCTTTTGACACCATTGATCACAGCATCTTACTGCAGAGACTTGAACATGTTATTGGGATTAAAGGAACTGCACTAAGTTGGTTCAAAACTTATTTATCAGAAAGATTTCAATTTGTTCATGTTAATGATGAATCTTCCACACAAACTGAAGTCAGTCACGGCGTTCCACAGGGCTCTGTGTTAGGTCCAATTCTCTTCAATTCGTCAATTCCCTAGTTTGTCAGTCACTAAAAGTGGGACATTTTGTTTTGTTGAGTTCATTTACATTTGACCATAGTGTCACATCTTTCAACTGATGCAAGTCAGGACTGAAAGAGGAGCATCTCCAATTGCAAGCTTAACCACCAGCAGCAACAGTGGATGTGCAGCAAGATGAAAAATTAGGCCTTGAATCATTCATATTATGAATATTTAATTATGTATTATTACTGTATACTTGATATTTTGTTTGTGTATGTATATATGTAAAAAGTCAAATACTATCAGGATGTCCCAATAGTTCCCTAAAAAGCCTCCAGTTAATCCAAAATGCTGCAGCCAAAGTACTGACAGGAACTAGCAAGAGAGATCATATCTCTCCCATATTAGCTTCTCTCCACTGGCTCCCTGTAAAATTCAGAATAGAATTTAAAATCCTTCTCCTAACATACAAAGCCCTTAATGACAAGGCTCCATTGTATCTTAAACACCTCATACAGCCTTGTCATCCTAACAGAGCACTTTGCTCTCAGAGTGCAGGTTTACTTGTGGTTCCTAGAGTCCACAGAAGCAGAATGGGAGGCAGAGCCTTTAGCTATCAAGCTCCTCTCCTATGGAACCAACTCCCAGTCTCAGTTCGGGAGGCGGACACCCTCTCTACCTTTAAGATTAGACTTAAGACTTTCCTTTTTGATAAATCCTATAGTTAGGGCTGGATCAGGTGACCCTGAGCCTTCCATTTGCTATGCTGCTATAGGCCTAGGCTGCTGGGGGGCCCCATGATGCTCTGAGTTTCTCTCCCCTCCCATCTCCTCTCCTCTCTCTCCATGCTTCTATATGCCACCATTACACATCACTAACTTTGTGTCTCCTCTCTCCCGTAGTGTGTCCTCTCTCTCTCCTTGTACTTTTCTGCAGGTTGCCCTGGAGCTCTACGTCTCTGATGACAGGAATCAAATATATAAAAATGAACAAGTGCTTAATGATAGGTTCTCTCTATAAGCTACTATTTCTCTATGAAGCTTCTTCCGGTTCTTTTAAACCAGGAACTCTCAATGAGACGAAGTAGACTGCTTTAGATTTTATAAAAAATAACCGTGCTGGTTTATTCAGAGGATCACAGGTAAAATTTACATTACACGTCCAGATCTCTCTCACCCTCTACCTGCGCGCAGGCAGCAGAAAGGATCAAGATCTCTGGACCAAGGAACCTATATAATCTTAATCATTTTTTGGGCTAGCCCATGCTACGCAGGGCGTCGAAACCGTGACGTCACCTGATAAGCCAGCTTTGCAGCTGACTCTAACGTTAGCCAAAACATGAGGAAAAGTCAAGGTGTGTGACTGTTGTTTTCGTGGTGTGTATCTAAAACAATTGGACATAACCTTACACATTAAGACAAATATTAAGACTAGCATTTACAGTTGACACCAACAGCTCTTTGCCTGTAACCTTGACCTGCCTGCAGTCTGCACTGCAGGCCCATTACTGAACAGTTAACAGCCTGAGCTAGTCAATCTGTCTGCACTAAACATTTCTAGACAACAAATCTCTGAATATCTATTTAACTAGGAAATAACCTAACACTCTCTTAACACACTACTATCATGTTAGCATGTATGTTGAAAGAGTTCTGACCACAAGGTGATCCCTTTGTAGCCAAACTGTGTAAGAGATCAGGGATGAAATCTATAGTTGTATATAAACTTTATTTAATCAGATCAGATCAAAATCTCTTTTGCAAGGGATATCTGAATACAGCAGAGAGAAAGAAAAACAAACAGAACACAACATAAAAGCGCATACAGTGTCAGAGACAATTTCAGACATCGCTAAAGCAAATCAAAGAATAAAGTTTAAAGCCATCCACGTTCAGCTCAGCAGACTGAAACAGACAAATCTTCCAGTGGTTCTGCCTTTTTGTATTACATTCTTTTGTGCTGCAGTTTCTTCACTACAATTTAACAACAAAACACAGAGGAATTTCATAAGAAACAGCCACTAAGGACTATTCCCCCTGCCCCGCCTCCTCCTCTGTGTGTTCACAGCTGTTTTGTTTAAGTGGATCTGAGAGCGCCATCAGCTTTGTTATGCTCACATAAGACTCACACTCTGGTGGGAAGTGGTTTCTCTGAGGCAGAAAGATCAGAAATCACCATACAAACCATATTTATACTCTTGCTTTACTGCTAACACTGTGGAGTTGCTGTATTTATGTTTAATTCCCTAGGAGCCTAAAGTAATATCTTGACTAATATATGTAATTGTTAAACATACTAACATGTTTTTCTCCAGTAAAAGTTCATCTTAGCACTATACATAGAGCTACATGGAAGTACACACATTTACGTATGTCAATTAAAATACAACTGGTCTAAACATTTACTTTAATAGTAAATACATTTTTAAAAAAGGTAATTAGAAACAAAATGAAGCATTTTTTAAATGACATTACCAGGGTGAGTCCTGCTGAGGTATGAAACCTTTTTGTTGCAAGGGAGCCCTGGCAAGACAGCAACATTACAAAGTTACAGACACAATATAAAACTGCATGCTGCATGTTCTCAGCAAAGAACTGGAGTAATATAGGCAATAGGAATGATGGCCAAAATGACACAGAAATGTTATAATAAAGCAGAATGGCCACTGGTACAGTAAAATCCTGACTTTGAAAAATGTAATGACCAGTAAAAACCCATTTTCTACCTTTAATGGTAAACCACTTGGATGTAGTTGATGTCATGAGCTGAAGTGAACTGTGCACAGATTGTGTTGACCTGTGTTGAATGGTTTTATTGTTGTATTTGTATGCTTTATATTGTGTCTGTAACTTTGTAATGTTGCTGTCTTGCCAGGGCTCCCTTGCAACAAAAAGGTTTTATACCTCAGTGGGACTCACCCTGGTAGCGTCATTTAAAAAATAAATAAATAAAAATAAAGCGAAACGCACCTGCAGGCAGAGACGCAGCAGGCCTCCTCCCTCACCCCGCATCTCTAGTGACTTCAGAAACAAAGGCAGTGACCTCTCTGTAATTCTGTTTCCTGCACAAATACAGAGACACCATAAGCATTTTATTTAGTGAAATAAATGCAAAGCTGTTCATAGCTGCCTTTCAGGACAAACAGGAATTAGAAGACCAACCAACAAAAATGACCAAGGCGTTCATTTTATAAGAAAGTTCAAATGCCTTTATTTAATTTGGCATGTTCATTGAACAAGGTATTAAAGTAATTTTGATGTGTTTTGGCATCAAAGTTACTTTTTTATTACTGTGTTTTGTGCCTTTTAAAACTAAAATAAATCAGTGTTATATATTATATTATATGTTATATATGTGATAACCGTAGTTTAGGTTTTAGTTAAAATAAATATGTAGTCAACAAAATAACTGTAATAAATGTAATATATTTTTAAAAAAAAGTCCTCTATATAATTTATTGGTTATTGCATATGAGAATAAGCATACCCTACTTTCAGACCAAACTCCAGTTACTTAATATTTGACTGTTAAGTAGATCATATCATTGTAAAGTCAGTCACAGTAACATGCTGTTGCAATCTGTTTCCAGGTTGGAGGCACAATTAAAAAGATTAAATGATTATATATTCTCTAAAGATACAGCATAAATGTAATATAAAGTGACCTAAAAGCAACAGCATCTGTGCTTGACAAGAAGCATTTGCACACTGATTCTGAGGAACTCACATATTCCTGCTATCAAACTTAACTGTAATTGTGCTAGAGATAAAATGCTGTCTTCCAAGCTGGGGTGATGACACTGCAGCTACTGACCTGCCAGGTTGAGTGAGGTGAGAGTCGTGTTTCCAGGCAGAAAAAACTCTCCATCCCTGTGCTGCACCGACTTGTCCAGCAGGGGGTGCACTGTTTCCACTGACTCTGCCCCCTGCTGGAGAAGGAGACAAGCAAACATGTGCATGACAAGATATCACATTTTGAAATCAGAAGAAAACTGCATCAAACAAACCTCATACTGGGAAACAGTTGAATGATCCTGCATAAGAAAACAAAACAACCAAAATGAATTAAAACAAATGACTCTACATGTGCATGTTTATATCTTAGTACATGGATTGGAGAAAACATGTTTCTGGTACCTCCTGTGCAGATGGTTGTTTCTCTTTGGCCCCTGGCTTGCCACCTTTACTTTGAGCCACCTTTACATCAGATGCTAGGAGATATTTAGAGACAACCATGACAAGATAAACACCCATGCTGTCAGAAGATAGAAGTGTTTATCTGTGACAGAAATGATTACATTTCTTGCTGGCCTTTGGATTCTCTTTATTAGTAGCTAGCTTCTCTTCTTTTTTGGATGCTTCCTGTAATTTAACAGATGCCAAAAACATAGTACAAGATTTACAAACCATAGCACACCAAATACACTGCACTGACACCACAGATTTACTTGTGCTGTCAGTTCTACATTGTTGACGTGTTACCTTTTTTTTAGAGGTGCCTTTGCTCTCCCCTTTACTGATGCTTGATGAAGTACTGCTGGATACTGAGGGGAGCTGGTCAGCAGGCGTTTGGACAGAATCAACTCTAAAAGATGACTACAGATTTATAAAGTGTGTTTAAAAGGTAACTCACTAATTACAGGACACTGACAGGCAGTTTCATCTTCTTTCAGTGTAAAGGTAATGCAGGTTATGGTTAGAGAATGTTGTTGCCTGACATGGCCTGATTCCTACTACAGGGCCCAGTGATAGATCAACACTAGAGAATGTTGTTGCCTGACATGGCCTAATTCCTACTGCAGGGCCCAGTGAGAGATCAACACATTATTTGTCCATGTTCACCCAGTTTTAGGCACATTTAACTGTGTTGATAGCTTAATGTTAGATGCTGCTGCACTTACAGACTGCATTCCTTGCAGTAGCAGCTTCCTCCTCTCTACAACCTCATCATGAGTGAGAGCAAACTTGTCAAGTATCTGTAAATGGAAGTGGTGAGCAGCGGAGACTTATTAAATTACATAATATAATGCAATAAGCAGAATATAATTTAAAACAACTTAACCACTGATTCAAATGCCTTTTTTTTCAGGATAAAACCATTAATGTAAATGGATACCGCAGCCAGATGAGCAGCTCCTGAGTCTCCAATCTGATTGTTAGACAGTGAGAGAAAGAGCAAGGCACGATTCAACCGCAGACCCTGAGAGACAAAACAGGAAGAAGACAACACTTCAGCAGTCGCTCAGTAGTGAGGGGGCCAATCAGGGGAATGTAGAATCACTTTTGGTTTATACATGTGCAATATGCGCAGCTCCTGCATCACCAATACTATTGAATGCCAAGTTGAGAGACAAAAGGTTCTTATTGGCAGATCTAGGTGTGGAGAGAGCAGACCCAACCAGACGGGCACCCTCATCACCTATCCGGTTGTTTCGCAGGGACACATGAGTGAGGCTTGACCAAAGAAACGCACAACACAAATCGAACATGTTAATTGTGTAATACAGTAGGATTGTGTGAATACAAATTAATTTGAACAAGTTCTGTACTATTATGTGAGATGTAAAACCGCTTGGTGACTCACGTGCTGTCCTCCGATAGAAGAAGATGGTAGCTGTGCTGTGGAAGAGGGTTGCCTTCTAACATCACAGCTCTAACAAAAAACAAATAGAAGGGGGGTGGATCGTTAACCCTCAGTATTTAATTGATATTGTTATACATACTACAGTGTTCTCTAAATAATTTCTGTCCAATTTATTTTCCATTCTTGAGCCTAGATTAAATTAGACCTACCATGATGCAGGAAGCTACAAAATAAAGATTGACATTGTGAATAACAGCAGGATCCACTCACCTGAGGTTTGACCACAAAGATATTGTGCTCATGAGGGAGCTTACCATCTGATCTGTCAGTCTTGCCTGCCAAAACCTGCAACACAATGGACAAGATGACACAAACAACAACAAAACAATGACAGTTGTGTCCCTTTTCCCTGTAACAGGGTCGCGCATTTCCCCAGTAGCTCATTACTCACTGAAGGCTATGTAGCTGGCTCAAGGAGGGAAACATCTTCTGTAGCACTCTGGCGATCTGCTCATCTACTTTCCACCCTGTACAGATTTAAGAAAAATTATATTCTATTACACTATGACATCATATAATACGGTTACTGTTGCAGACAGAAACTTAAATGAGACTGTAAAAAGTGAAAAAATGTAAAGGTTAAACCAATGTTTTGTTGTTTTCTTATTAGTTTTTTCTTACCAGAAATCTTTATGCTTTTGGCACTCAGCTGGTTTTCATTCTCCAGCTCAACTTGGAGACAAGGCTTAGACCAGAAAGATGCAGCATTTATCTGAGACTGGTTGTCCTCTGAAGGTACAGTTATGTTAATTGTAAGTGAACTGAAGCTGAGAATTTAAAATGGATAATTACTGTATGATCAAACTTTCTCTGTAATGATCTGTACAGTACAGTAAATGAGAAACAAGCAGTGTAGAACAAACACGAGTGATAATTGAAGGCCAGTTTTAGATATCAGTGCTAAATTAGTCTCCATTTAGGAACTAGTTCTGTGCAAATACTTGTCACTTTGAAATATGAAAAGTATTATGTGATCTCTTGTTTATCTATGTTACCTGTTTCTTTTTCAGTGGTGGAGGAAACCAGTAGCTTGGTGCTGACAGCTGGAATGTCCTTTATGTTCAGAAGAGTACAAAGTTCATGGAAGTCAATCTTCACATTTCCTGAGCACTGATATTCATCTGTGGGATAGTGGGTTTAACACATTAACCATACAACTCTCAGCCGTTTACCAGAGACATCCTGATAATGCTATAGTATACTTACCAAAGGTCTGAGCAGGTAATGTTTCATTTGTAGTCAGTCCTAAAAGCAACAGAAAGGCCAACGTTTACACCCACAGAGCATTTCTCCTTTTTATTAATCAAATACGGAGTTAAAGGAAGTTATTAAAATATCATACTTCACAAAATAGTAAAACCTTTGTTTCATCCTTGACATCTATTGAGATTCTTTAAATGCTAAAATCCACTGTTTTCCTGTTTCCCTGCCATCTGCACTGTGCGCTACTGTAGGCTCCAGTCCACTGTGACAAAGATGTGAATACAATCAGTGAACATGTGAATGCTATTACTACTTTTACCTATAGAAATACTTCCTCCACCGCTTTTTAGACCTGTCAAAATAAAATCACGCTAACTATATTTGAGCCGGCAAATTATACAAATGATATGTTACAATATCAATAATATTATAATAATCAAACGCCTATGGCGTGTAATAATAATAGATTAATTGAGATTAGCTAGCTAATTAATTGAAACATTTGTCTCATAAGTGACCGCTAACCGCTAGCTAACACTGAAGTGGCGTTAATCAACATGCTAATGAAAGATTGTGTAACCTGAAACTTTCGAGGCTTCATCCTCAGCAATTGCCTTCTCTGTTTTCTCTTTTACGTGTCTCTTTCTAGACATCGTTATGTCCCAACGTTACCGTTAAATACAGTTCATCAGCTAACGTCGCTTTCTTCTTATGATAAAGCACTTTTAGCGTCAGTTACCATGGCACCCGCGAGTCCATGCTTCAGAGTTCAACGCGAGACTTGTCGCCTTTTTTGCGTAGGTAAAATGAAGATAATGGTTGGTAGTATTTAGTAATGATAATTAGTAGAAGATAATGTGGACGTACCTTGGTAAGACTACTGAGATGGAACATCACTATTTAAATTAACATGTAAATATCGCGAGTCTTCAAGTGACTGGCAAATCTGCGAGGAAAGTTGGCTAAATACGGCAATTTCTTTCATCCTAAGTATTACTTTCAGGGTATTATATGGCTCAGTTTAAGCAGTATTTAATTTATGTTAACTGGTGACTGTACTGAATGTCAATCTGACCATTCTAGTGTTTGTATTATTTGTAAAATACCTCCAAGACATAATGGTTTTAATTTTCAACGCTGGAACTAGAGCTACAGCCATGAGAATTTTGGGAGGGTGGAGGGAGAGGTTTACTCATTCATCACAGTGGAGATCAGATTTTCAGATGAGTTAATAGCGCCTTGAACTTCCAGCAGCAGATGGGAGCATTAGCAATCATCAGGCCTGAATCACCTGAAAATATTTGAATATAATTTAAGTCAAACTCATGGCACAACAACATCAAGTGTATTCACAATAATGTAGTGCTTTTTATTTAAAAAAAAAAAAAAAAAAACAAACAAAAACGAAATATAAAACAAAAAGTAAAAACCAACAGCATTTTCATGACTTAAGAATTATAATTACAAACTCTGAAGAGTGGAAGAAGTTTCTTGACAAACTGTACACATCACAAAATGTCTACCAGTCTGCCATTTACAATGCTTGCATCTTATTTTGTGATTGTCTAAAAATAACTAAACAAATCACACAAAACACACAAATACAAGTACAAGCATTATACAATGACTGCTATCACAAAACAGAACAGTTTCCTATTCGAAAGAAAAATTAAAATAATATCATGAAATTGGGCTGACAGCTTTACTTTTGCTTCTGTCACCTTTTAAAAATATCAACATTTTTGTTTGTTTTTTTAGTGTTCAACACTTTGCAGCAAAAAACAAGGAGTATATTTCTCCTTAAAGTAATATTATTAACAATATTCAGTGACTAAGGTGACGTTGCCGAGTCACTGTTATGTCCCAATGCCTTCTGTGTCTATTAGACATTCTTCTCGCTCATGCAGAACATAGATGAATTTCATTTGTAGAAAACGAATAGCTTAGGTTTTATGTCGTCAGGACAGTTACGGTGAGATATTCAGGACATTATAAAAAAAAAAAAAAAAACGTGACTTTTCTCTGATCTTAAGTGTCTTCATTATAGTAATACAAACGGAAGAAATCATATTATCATTATTATAATAATCATAATACCTTTAGGGCTGAGTCCTGTACAGTACAATAAACAAAATCCATTTTCAAGATATTGCTTTTGGAGACACTCCTCAATGTAAAGTGTGTATATTTACATAACTTGGCACTGTACAGCTTCCTGTTCCCTCTCTCCCTCCATCAGTGTCTCATTCTTGTCACGTCTGTCAGCTGGGACATAGCAGGCCGTTCCTTTTTTAAGCAGAGGCATTTGTGTTGGGGGGGAGAAATCTCATCAAATATCACAATTTCTTTTTAAAACATTCTCTGTGGCAACCAGAACATAGTCAGACAGAAGAAGATCCCCTCCCCTCCGCATATACAGTATAGAGTGCCCCACCCATCTCACAGAATATAAGAAAATATGACCATCACGATACATTTCATGTTAAGTATTGTTTTCCATAGTTTTCTTAAAACTGTTAATTGCCATCGAGCCCTTAAATTTTTTTTAATTTTTCTAAAAAGGTAAATCTTCAAGAAATCTGGCTGACTACAGACACACAATCAGTGTGTACACGCACACACTCGCACGGAAGGCAGACAGAGAGCACGGCTGTGTAAGGCGTTACAGTTAAAGCCAGTGTCCCCCCCCCTCACGCCTGATTTAGATAAGCTGGTGAATCATGTTACTTCAAAAAAGAGGGGCAAAGCTGACTGCCTCAAAAGAAAATAAAAAATTACAACCTCACAAAGACACTGACTTACAAAAGCAAGCGCTCAGTCTTCCCTCCTGTTCAGTTCTGGTAAAAATAAACACACCCCTGGCTTCTTCTGGTTCTAAATGAATTACTACAGAATAATGGGAAAAGATAATAGGCTTTTTAACTTGCTTTTTTTCAGGCTGCATCATTCAATACTGTGAGAGTGTTAGTGTGTTTTCATTATAGATACATTACACAGATCTTCACAATATCCATGGTACCAAAAGTGCAGTTCACCGCCCCCTCTCTCTCTTTTTCATGAGCAGCTTTTGAGCACACCGCTCAACTTGCATTTCTTCCACAGTCCCAGCGCAGATCTTCTCTCATCTGTTACACTGCATCATTGCAGTAGAGTGCCACTAGGGGGGGGCAGTTCTCCAGCATTCACATCCTCACTGACTGAAACAGCTAGCCCTCCCTGTAGCCATCCCTATTTAGTACCATTTGTTTCATTTCTGATGCCCGCTAGTGGAATTCATCTATCCATGTTTGTAATGTTCAATGCATTTAAGTGCATGGATTACCCCTCCTATGTTCATTATTTAAAAAACAAAAAAACAAAAAAAAAACAAGTTTTGCATCATACTACTTAAATAAGCAAAAAGTCTGAGTCAGCTCTCTGTTCATGCTCCTTGAGAACACCTGAAAAGCTGAAATTGACATGGAGTCAGCGCTTCCAAACCCCCACCACCCTCTCTGAGATGAGATGTCAGTTTTGGTAGGGGTAAACTGGAAGAGGCCACTAGGGATGCATTGTGGTCCTTAATGGGTGGACAGCCAACAATGCTCATTTCCCTTTATTGCTGTCTCTCCATTTTCTGCCCCTTGCTCACAAAAGTGAAAGGCAGTGTGCTTGACAGGCACATAGCAACGTTATTTTCTCCCCACAAAGTCACAGAACCCGAGCGTCCGTCTCCGTAGCCGCCGCCCTGCACCCTCCTCCAGGAGATAAGTGACATCTATGGCTGTTGAAAGAACACAGAACGAGAAAAACAGAAGAAGAATTAGGAAAAACAGCTTATGCACAGGGTATTATATCAAAGAAACAGCAAAGCTAAAAGTAGCCAAAGGTGTCTCTTCTGCTAGTGATGCTTAAAACAGCATCTGCAAACTCCTTTCTGACAGTAAATGTAGAAAACTTTCTCAGCACTTCCTAAAAATGCTGTATGCTGGGAGATGTGGCATGATGGTGCCTTTGGAAGGATTTTACTGTGAAGCAGCTGCAGGTGTGTTGAATTTAAATGATAAGGCTGGTGGTTCCTGCTGTGTAAGCATATTGACGTAACAAATCACCCAGTGCAACAGTGTGGCTCATTCATGTGTTTTGATAAGTGGTATCAGGCTTTGGCTACACAGCGTTACAGGGTACACAGGGTCTATCACCAGACTTATCCTTTAAACACAGATTAGCCACTGTGAGTCAGTGTTAGAAGTTGGTCTAGATTTACATACTTTTTAGTAATATTGTCAGCAGGTTGAAGCAATGAAAACAACAGATTGAAGCACTGCATGGGAGAAAGTCATTTGGACAAAGCAGCAGACATGAAAACTGAAGTATCCAGCTGTTAGATGAAAGCTATAACACAGCATAAATATAAAAGATGGTAAAATCTGAGTCCACACACCCCTCTAATGCAGTTTCTTGCTCCAACTTTAAACTTAGCCACTCACAAACAGCATATAAAACGTGCAATGCAATATGTTTAAATGATGTGTCATAGCAAGTGAATGGAAACTTTGACCCTCATTTATCTGTTGACCTACCCCCCTGCTTTGTTCCCGGTCCCTCACCATTCTTGCTGGGAGTTCTGTGCAGCAGATCCAGCAGAATTTTGTTGAGCCGTTCCCTCTGGGCCTCCTTCCTACCCAGCGCTGCCTGGTGTAACGGCGAGGAGGCCGATGAGGATGGGAGTTCAAGCATCTCGCCTATCCTCTCAGCAGAACCCTCCTCCAGCTCCTTGCATTCTTCATTCTCCTGCCCTTCCTCTTCGTCTTCCTCCTCATTGTCATCTTTGTCTCCCTCCCCTACTCGCTCTGCTCTTCTGGACTTGGCTGAAAGAATTTCTGGATCCTCTGGGGCCATGTCCAGGTCATCCTCCACTCCTCTCCCGTCTTCCACCTCAGGTTGGAAATCATCACCCCGGTCACAAGAAGAGCCATCATCCTCGCAGCCTCCAGCCCCTTTGGGTCGCTCACTCTTCCAGGCGGAGCGGCCCCCATTTCTCTTGTAGTTATCAGGAACATAATGAGGCTGCAAAAAAAGTTCAAATAAGACCCACATCAAATAGCATTTGCAAATACTTTTGATGGTTTTATGTAGCTTAATTAGCTTTCAGCTAGTTAAAGGATAACTTTGGCTTTTTGAAATTGCTGTATTTCCCCTAACAGCGGGGGTGGTGACTCTATAGCTAATGCTAGTTTTGCTACAACTACCTCCACTGTAATGATTTGGTGAAACAAAAAGTCACGTTAAACAGTGTCACAGAGGAAATCATAGTTAGCCTCCAGAGAGCTCAGTATAAATATGATTTCAATTAAATCATTTTTCATGCTTATCTCTGAGTCAGATAGAAAGCAAATACAAGATCTGGGCTGTTGTCGTCATTGCCATTACAGCTGAATGCATAGGACTAAACATGCGGGTCAACTTACCAGCTGACCTCCTAACTGGGTTAGCAGGTGATCTGCCCAAAGATTCAAATGTTATGGGAAAATATCTAGAAAATCATACACTGAATTCTTGGACTACAGGTCCCACCAAGTTGTGCGTCACTATCTGGGTGACCCACCTAGTGAAATAATAGGAAATGACAGATAGCACCTGAAAATATTTACTGTGGCAGCAAGAAAAGGCAATCAGCTGTAAATGGCTTTCAAGCTGATCCACCTACAGTAGATAACTGGCTTGAATCAGTGATTTATGAGGTGGAAACACTAACTTTAAACTGAGACCGAGAAAATAC